GTGTGTGACAGTGTGGTATGTAACGTGTGTGTGTGTGTGTGTGTGTGTGTGTGTGATGTGAGGTATGTAGTGTGTGTGTGACGGTGAGGTATATAGTGTGTAGTGTGTGTGTGACGGTGAGGTATGTAGTGTGTGTGTGTGACGGTGAGGTATGTAGTGTGTGTGTGTGACGGTGTGGTATGTAGTGTGTGTGTGACGGTGAGGTATGTAATGTGTGTGTGACGGTGAGGTCGTAGTGTGTGTGTGTGACGGTGTGGTATGTAATGTGTGTGTGACGGTGTGGTATGTAGTGTGTGTGTGACGGTGTGGTATGTAATGTGTGTGTGACGGTGTGGTATGTAGTGTGTGTGTGACGGTGTGGTATGTAATGTGTGTGTGACGGTGTGGTATGTAGTGTGTGTGTGACGGTGTGGTATGTAATGTGTGTGTGACGGTGTGGTATGTAGTGTGTGTGTGACGGTGTGGTATGTAATGTGTGTGTGACGGTGTGGTATGTAGTGTGTGTGTGACGGTGTGGTATGTAATGTGTGTGTGACGGTGTGGTATGTAGTGTGTGTGTGACGGTGTGGTATGTAATGTGTGTGTGACGGTGTGGTATGTAGTGTGTGTGTGACGGTGTGGTATGTAATGTGTGTGTGACGGTGTGGTATGTAGTGTGTGTGTGACGGTGTGGTATGTAATGTGTGTGTGACGGTGTGGTATGTAGTGTGTGTGTGACGGTGTGGTATGTAATGTGTGTGTGACGGTGTGGTATGTAGTGTGTGTGTGACGGTGTGGTATGTAATGTGTGTGTGACGGTGTGGTATGTAGTGTGTGTGTGACGGTGTGGTATGTAATGTGTGTGTGACGGTGTGGTATGTAGTGTGTGTGTGACGGTGTGGTATGTAATGTGTGTGTGACGGTGTGGTATGTAGTGTGTGTGTGACGGTGTGGTATGTAATGTGTGTGTGACGGTGTGGTATGTAGTGTGTGTGTGACGGTGTGGTATGTAATGTGTGTGTGACGGTGTGGTATGTAGTGTGTGTGTGACGGTGTGGTATGTAATGTGTGTGTGACGGTGTGGTATGTAGTGTGTGTGTGACGGTGTGGTATGTAATGTGTGTGTGACGGTGTGGTATGTAGTGTGTGTGTGACGGTGTGGTATGTAATGTGTGTGTGACGGTGTGGTATGTAGTGTGTGTGTGACGGTGTGGTATGTAATGTGTGTGTGACGGTGTGGTATGTAGTGTGTGTGTGACGGTGTGGTATGTAATGTGTGTGTGACGGTGTGGTATGTAGTGTGTGTGTGACGGTGTGGTATGTAATGTGTGTGTGACGGTGTGGTATGTAGTGTGTGTGTGACGGTGTGGTATGTAATGTGTGTGTGACGGTGTGGTATGTAGTGTGTGTGTGACGGTGTGGTATGTAATGTGTGTGTGACGGTGTGGTATGTAGTGTGTGTGTGACGGTGTGGTATGTAATGTGTGTGTGACGGTGTGGTATGTAGTGTGTGTGTGACGGTGTGGTATGTAATGTGTGTGTGACGGTGTGGTATGTAGTGTGTGTGTGACGGTGTGGTATGTAATGTGTGTGTGACGGTGTGGTATGTAGTGTGTGTGTGACGGTGTGGTATGTAATGTGTGTGTGACGGTGTGGTATGTAGTGTGTGTGTGACGGTGTGGTATGTAATGTGTGTGTGACGGTGTGGTATGTAGTGTGTGTGTGACGGTGTGGTATGTAATGTGTGTGTGACGGTGTGGTATGTAGTGTGTGTGTGACGGTGTGGTATGTAATGTGTGTGTGACGGTGTGGTATGTAGTGTGTGTGTGACGGTGTGGTATGTAATGTGTGTGTGACGGTGTGGTATGTAGTGTGTGTGTGACGGTGTGGTATGTAATGTGTGTGTGACGGTGTGGTATGTAGTGTGTGTGTGACGGTGTGGTATGTAATGTGTGTGTGACGGTGAGGTCGTAGTGTGTAATGTAGTATGTAGAGTGTCAGATGTACCCGTGAGCTTGTGCGTCTCTGATGCGTCGTGCGCTGCTGCTGAATGCCTCACTCGTCACGGCCTGAAGACTCTGGAAACTCTGCAGCAGGAAGCAGCGCTGCGCATGTTGCTCGGCCAGCAGTGCTCTCTGATTGGCCAGAAGGACATCAAGCACCTCCTCCAGAGCATCCTGTGGCGGATTCACAGCACACATTTATAACATTCCCAGAATATTAGAAATTATATGGTTTCTGACTTGACTTAGACACCGTTGAATTTATATGTATTTATTAAATGCAAATTCAAAATTCTCATAAAAACAGATGCATGGAAATCAAAGTAAGGTCTTTTGTTCAACTAAACTAAAGAGAGTGCAAACAGAAGAGAGAATGTTTTAGCGTACTTCACGGTGCTGCTGCTTGGAAAACACCGCAGCACCAGCGCATTTCCAGTTCACCCTGCAGCCTGACCATGTGCTCACGCCACACATACAGCAAACAAGCTTTAACTTAGAAACACCAGAGCAGTCGGTACAGATGTCAGACTGATGGTCAGCCCACCTGATGGCTGTAGTACTGCAGCAGGAGTTTGTCGGCGGTGCTTTTCTCCAGCTCTCCGGTTCGGACGGCCTCCTCCAGCTCCTCACCGAAGATCTTGTGCAGCTCAAAGCGCCGCCGCAGCGCCTGCTGCCTCTGTGCCTGCGCAGATGCGTGTTCATGCCTGACCAAGAGCCGCTTCTGCAGACGCTTCAGCTCTTCCTTATGAAGCTTCTCCAGTAGAAAACGAACCTCCAGCACGTCCTGATAACATACGGCACACATCACACATCATGTTCTTACTTAGAATAAAAAGTCTTGATTTTCAGTACAAATATCAAAACATTCTTAAAGGGGTCATATGACAATGCTAAAAATAACATTATTTGGCGTACTTGGTGTAATGCAGTGTTTATAAAGTTTAAGGTTAAAAAAAAAATTTTTTTTCCACATACCGTACATTATTGTTTCTCCTCTCTGCCCGGCCTTTCTGAAACGCCTCGATTTTTACAAAACATATTGTTCTGAAAAGCGCTGTGTGCTCTGATTGGCCGGCTATCCA